CATTAATCCACTTCTATTGAAGAGAGGACAGTGGCTCCCTCAGTTGCTTCAGAATGAAAGAAAGGCTAGGAGCCACTACTGTAATCTAACCTTTTCTGTCTTCTCTTGCTTTCTACATTAACCTTTACAGCCAGACCTCCATACTTAACCCGAACCCCTCCAATCATGAGGTACTTGGGACAAAGGGGCTTTTTCCATTTTGGACAGTTCTAATATTTAGTGATTTCTTCCTTAGACCTGTATTGAGCTATAATCTCTTGTGACTTTCACCCATGTATTGAGTTCTACCATCTAGGAACACACTAAGAATAATCCTTTCACTTGGTGTCCTTTCAAGTGTAGGAACTAGGTACATGCATCTCTTTCCTGTGCACCTGCCATTTCTCATTGCCATGCCAACCTTCTCTGTTGTTTTCGGACATTTCTCTCAGAGGATATTTCAGCTTCATTCTTGGTTGCTTTTCCAGACATGGTTTAGTTTCTCAGAGTCCTAGTGTCTACCTTTCAGAACTAAGCTTGAATTCAAATTATGGTCTTTCCATGCAGAATAAAGCATTAGCACTAGGTACATAGCCATGTCACACTGTTGACTGACAGTCTCTTCATTTTTAAACTCAGCTATAAATACCTTTTTTGATTTTTTTATTTGCAACATCCAGTATTGAGCTTCTTTGCTCTGCCAAACATTGTGTTCCTGAAATAGGTCTGAGTTACACAAATAGAGTCCCTGACCTCATGGATCTTATACAGACATTTCTTAATTTACTCATTATCTTTTAATCCAAACACATCTTTATGAAGTAGTTTGGGGACTGTGGTGGTTTTATAAAAAATGATCTCAAGTAGACCCTTAATGTTGCCTAATAGTCATATTTCATTTTTCCCTCATCTGTTCCCTCTCCCGCTATCCTGGATGCCTATTTCCTCCTTCTCCTCACGCCTCACTCTCAGCTGACCTTGCCTCCTGTTTCAGTAAGAGAACAATAAAAGCGATCAGAAGAAAACTTCCAGGCTCCCACTGCCTCACTTCTCCTCCCTGCATATGTACCTGATGCTCTGCTTTTTCCTGTTAGGAATGAACTGTCCATACACCTAGGAGAGGCCAAGCCTTCCGGTTGTGCACTGCATTCTATCCCTTTGGTCAGCGTAAGGCCACCCCCTTCTGACAGAGCTTTCTCGTCAACATACAAACATGCCACAACTGCGTTTCTCTCTTCCCAGTCTCTCTTGAACCCACTGTAGTCAGACTGTCACTCCCACCACTCCATCAAAACTACTCTTGCCAAGGGCACCAGTGACCTTCATGTTGCTAACCAATGACCTCTCTCAGCTTTTGGCAAAGCTGGTGATACCTTTCTTCTTGAATTTGGCTTCCAGGACACTGCATTCCACTGGTCCCTCCTTTTTAGTTTCTTTTGCCAATTCCTCATTATCCTCAAACTGTTAATTTAGGGTGCCCCATGTCTCATTCCTTAGTCCTCCTTCTCAGTACTCCATTGGTAATCTCATTCATTCTCATGGCTCTTTCTTTCTTTCTTTCTTTCTTTCTTTATTTATTTATTTATTTATTTATTTATTTATTTATTTTTGTGGTATGTGCCCCTAGCGGGAACCAAACCCAGGACTCTCAGGTCCACATGGTCAATGTTCAACCGCTGAGCCAAACTGGCCAGGGCCATTCTCATAGCTTTAGAAGTCATCCAAAAGCTGGCAACTTCCTAATTTAATGGTTGAAATTTAGTGTGTGGGTTCAAATTCTGGTTCCACTGTTTAAAGTTGTGTGACCTCAGGCGAGTTTTTTTTTTTTGTTTTTTTTTTTTTACCTTTCCTTGCCTTTGTTTCCTCATGGTAGAAACTTTAATATTTGCTGAATGAATTAATGAAACAAACAAAAAACTCCCTTAACCAAGAAAAATGGTGGGGTTTATAAGTTTCTTTATAGAACCTCCAAAGGAGAGAGAGAAGAATTACCCTATTTTACAAATGAAGAGAAAAAAATTAGTAATCTATATTATTAATTCCATTCTAACTATTTACCCTATTACACAATTACTTAAATGAACTTAACCCAGTGCAGTCTGGCTTCTGCTCTAAACAGCTCTACAGAAATTTCTTCACTTACACCACTAGTGACCTAAGTGCCAAATTTGGTGGACATTTCTCAGCCCTAACTATTGATGTCATTCTCCTTGAAACTTCTCTCTTATAAGAAACTTCTCTTATGAGAAGACTTTCATAACCTCTCTAACCAATCTTCCCTCTTTCCTTCTACCTGCTCCTTAAATGTCAGTGTTTTCCAGAGTTTTATTCCCACATGGTTCTGCTCATTCCCTCATCCAGTCTACTCACCTTCTCATGCCTGAAAGTTGACCCTCAGAACAGGGAGGAATTTGAGGTCCTCTTTGCTACCCACATTTGCTTTCAAACCATTACTTCCCCTTCCTTTGAGAAAAGCCCCATTCCTTTGAGGTTTATACCATCTGACTTTATCACCCTCCTCTTCTTCCTCTCCTTGCTGTTATCTACCAACCTCTCTCTTGTATGTTGAGTATTTCAACTGGTTAAACATTTTTTGTCTACCCGATTCCATTCACTATTCTCGGAAACTCCAGCATCTACACCATGGCTCCTCAGTTCATTTGTTTTCCCATCAACTATGGACCTTTTTACCCAGCCCCAGCCACATACTCCCATGGACATCTTGAGCCTTACCATCTTGTGCACAACTTCCAAATCCATGCATTTAGACATACTGTTTTCTTACCATATTCTTTTTTCCTTCCAGGTTACTTGTTGAAGGGCCCCACAGAAACAATCCTTTGACCTCGTTAAAACCTTCAGCTCATTGAGTACTCTCTCACTGTCCCTATAGCCATCTTGTATCTCAGCCTCTCTAGCCTACATATCTAGCAAAACCCTAGCCCTAGGTGAGTCGAACCATCTGCCATCTCTTTTTTTATACAGGTCCTCATATAACTGAGCATTGCTGGAGAAAATTACCCCACCTAGCAGATAACTTTGGTAATTGTGATTTTACAGTGTTTCAGTGGTCCTCTCCTTTATCTTATCCCACTCAAATGCCTGCTTTTATCCAGCTGGCAGAGTAATTCAAAATGCAGATCTGATCATGTCACTCCTTCAGTGTTATCCCAGTCTTAAAAGACCAGTGCCTCTCAGATTTGAATATGAATATAAAGCACCTGGGAACCTTGTGAAAATGCAGGTTGTACTTCAGCAGGTCAGGGGTAGAGCCTAAGATTCTGCATTTCTAACAAATTCATTCCACCAGTTTTATTTTTCTCATTTTTATGAGATAACCTCAGGGTTTGATCATCTAGACCAGAAATTTTGAACTTATAAGTAAAAATTGGAAAAGTTTAATGCTTATCTTATCTTGAAATTCCGGAATGTTAGAGTTGGAAGAGATCTTAGAAGTCATTAAGGTTTATCTCCTCGTTATGTGGGTAAAATATGAAGAAAGGAGCAAGTTCTAGATCCAAAGCCAGGCCTAGAACTTAATTTTCCCAATTCCCAGGACAAAGTTCATTTCACTATACTATGATACTGATCCTCAGTTTTAAGTTTCATTGGCTCTCTAAATTGTTAATCTTCTCAACAACTGCTAGAGTACATAGAGTGCACGTCTATTCCGGTTGTTGAGCATACAAAATCTAAAAGACAGAGTGCCTGCCCTCCTAAATAAAAGGCACCCTTCCTGAATTTCTCCCCACTTGTTCCAGATCTTCTCATCTGATACCTTTTTCCAAGTTAGTAAATGTCAGTAATTCAGTAGCAACAAAAGAAACTTAAACAACGTTATGCATGGCAGTCATAACAAGCTGTGAAAGAAAGCCAAGAGTTTTGAGAGAGATGAAAGGGCAGACATATTCTTCCTTAGAGCAGTCGTTTTTTGGAAGTGACCTTCATTTTGACTCACAACCCAATACATACAACTTATACAGTTTTTTAATTGAAAAAACATAAGGGAGGGGGACTCAGGGGAGGGGTGAGGTGTATCCTCAGAAGGTCAGGTAAGCAGAAAGTCAGGTGGTCCCAGGCTGAGATGGGACGATTCCTAAAGCAAGAGCCTGCCACCCACAATAAACCCACCCCCACCCCCCTCACTGCCAGCCTCTCCTGGGTCTCATCCCCAGGCTGGTGGCAGTGGATGCTGTTGTCAGAGCATGTACCATTCTGATCCAACTCTTTCGACCCCCTACCTTCTCACACGCCTCCCCTTCTCAGTGCAGGGGAGTGGAGGGGTATGTCAGGCAGGAAAAGGGCCAAGAACTCCAGAAACACATGGCATTGTACCTTGAATGTTCCCCCAAAGAGGGGTAAGAGGGAATACAAGGGGGTGGTGGGGGCCCCTTGTTCAGGGCTCTGAACAAGTTGAAAGGCCAAATTAAACGTGTGTGTATGTGTGTGTGTGTGTTTTCCCAGGATGTATGTGAAGCATTATGTTTCTTTTTAAAGTCTGATTATAACTCATTAATTTGATTTCATGAACCCGAATGGTTCTTACCCCATGTTTGGGGACTTAGAGTTGTAATCACGTGGAATATTAGACTGAACTAGACTGGTTTCTGATCCAGTATGATAACTATCTTCTGCTCAGTCTAAACTCATGTTGGCAAAGAAAACCTTATTCATTTTCTTTAAATCTCATTTAAACCACATTTATTCCATGAAGGGTTTCTGTGTACACCTTAGTATTTATTTAGTATATCCTCAGCATTTATATACAATATTTCCTGATTGCCATGTGTAAGTACTTTGTTTTGATTTTATTTATGTTTGCTATGTCCCCGGGTAGGCTGTTAATTCCACAAGGGCAAAGATCTTATATTCTGTTTCTTTGGGACCCTCCCCTTCCCTTCCATTTTATACCTGGTTGACATTTTAATTAATCATCCATTGACCTGTTATTCTAGCAGGGTACAGATGTTTAGCTCCGTCATGGCTTCTTTCTCATACCCGTTTCTCATGTGCCCATCCAGCTTATTTGCCTACAGCCTCAAAGCTTATAAACGAAGAAAAACTGTTACAGGCCAAGATCTTCACCAGAAACTTTGAGGATGGCCTGGGCTTTGAATATGTGATGTTCTATAATGATGTTGAGAAAAGGGTAGTCTGTGTGTTTGAAGGAGGTCCTTACCTGCAAGGAATGCCCGGGTAAGAATGACAGCCTGGAAATGTGGTCTGAGATTATCTTATACTATCCCTATGTATCCATGCACGAGAAAGAAGGCATTAAAATGGTAATGTAGATGTGTTTACTGACATGGAAAGATGTTTATAATAAATCACAAAAGCATAGGACATAAGGCAATAGAGGTTAATTTGAAAGAGTATCATTGACATGTTAAGAGTGGTTAGTCACTAGAGGGCCTTATACTATTTTGTTTATTTTCCTTTGTCTTCTGTTTATCTGCATTTCCTAAATCTTTACACAGTGATGTGTATAGTTAGTTTAATGAAAACATGTTATAAATTTTCTAAATGATATTTTAATTTTTTGCTTGCTTATGATCTGATTACCTGGTTTATTACAAATACTACACTATTGTGGTATGAACAAAGTCAAGTTGGGGACATAAATATTTGACAATCAGTACGCTAAGCGTGTACTAAGTGAACCTTCTATAAGCAAATTATATGGAGAAGCTTGGATGATTTTTGAGAGGCTCTCTCTTGCAGACTTTGGAAACATTTCTCTTTTTCTCCTGTTATAACTAGATGCCTTCACGGAGGTGCCATTGCAACCATGATTGATGCTACTGTTGGTACGTCTGCGATGATAGCTGAAGGAATTGTCATGACTGCCAATCTCAACATCAATTTTAAAAGGTAAAATCATGGATATTCTCTACTTAGATGTCATAGGTCAGGTTCCCCAGCAATGGACTCTGAGACAAAGATGTGCGTGCAAGGAAGGGAGTGCTCCCAGAGGAAACTAGCAAGGCAGTGAGAAGGGCAGGGCGGGGGAGGGGAAGAAGCCAGCCAAGGCTGGGCTCAAAGCCCCTCAAAGGGGAGCTTCAGCCTGATCATACATGGAACTCTGGAGTGAAACGTGTGCCTCAGAATTGCCCATACCTCAGGCGAGGGAACTGGAGACTTCATATCTCACACATAGGTCGTAGGATAAGTCATAGGAAAATCCTGTCCTGGGGACCATAAATTCCCAGGCACTTCTTATTGTGAGCAGTACATGAATCAATCCATGTAAACACCGAGGACATAACAAGAACTCAGAAAGTGTTTGCAACTTAATATTATTATTATTATTATTAACATTATTGTTGTTATTACTTTTACTTCCAGCAACATCTGTGGCAAGACAAGGAATAGCTACCAAGATCCCTGGTTCCTATTAATAGAGAATAGTGCTAAAGATCAGAAGAACATTAGATTGTTCCGCATGTGTTCTCATGATGGGCAGGGTGACCTGACTGCTATAGATCTCTTTGGGTACTCTTGACATCTTAACAATATTAAATCTTTTAATCTGTAAACACAGGATGTCTTTCCATTTCTTTGTATTTTTATTTCTTTTAGCAGTGTTTTGTAGTTTTCAGTGTATATGTCATCTGTGAACAGAGATAATGTTCTTCCTTTTCCATTTGGATGCCCTTTTTCCTTGCCTGATTGCTCTAGCTGGGACTTACAGGACTGTGTTGAAGAGAAAGAGCAAAAGTGGGTATAATTGCTTTGTTCCTCTTCTTAGAGGAAAAGCTTTCAGTCTTTCATCATTGAGGGTGGTGATGTTAGCTGTGGGCTTTTCATATATGGCCTCTATTATGTTGATTTATTTCCTTGTGCTTAGCACATTAAGATAAATAGACAACGCAGCTAATGATTAATGGTGGCTAGCCAGCTGCAAGTTTAAAAATTAAAGCAAAATAAAGGCATTTTCATTTAAACAAAATGGAGAAAGTTTACAAACAACAGGATAGTACCTGGGAGACTTCTAAAGAATGTACCTCAGAGAGAAGGAAAGTAATCCTATGAGGCAGGATGAAAAACGGAATAGTGAGCAAATATATCAGTAAACATATAAATAACATAAATCCAAACAGTGTCCAAATAAGTAATAATAATGTCTAAATTCTGAGAATTATAAAAAGGACAGCCAAAATACTGGGCAAAAATAGCATTTAGTTTGGGAGGGGGTGAACATAATTAGTGTTCAAACATCTTTATATTTTTTACTGGAGAGGGTGAATGACTAAAGTCTAAAACAGTAGAAAAGTAAAAGCAAGGTAAATAAATAAAATTCCATTGTTAAAAATGTAAGAAAGAGAAAAAAAAGAGGATCAGGAAAAGTGAGTCAAGTAGAGTGCCAAAGTAAGAAGTAAGTCTAAATAAATCAGCAATTGCACTGAATATATAAATGGACCAAACCATTACTTCAAAGAAAGAGATTATAAAATTGAGTTTTAAAATGTAAAAAGCTGTAAACTGTTTATATGAGACATCTAAAACAGGGCACAGGAAAGTTTAAAAGGAAAGAAAAATATGCAAGGAAAAAGCTAACCAGAAGAGGGCTGGGATATCAGAAAAAAATGTAATAAATTGTTTAAAAAGTAATATTAGGGATGGAGAAGCCTCCTTTACAATAAAAGATTCCATTCAATAGCTGATTGATAGTAACAATTCTAAATCAGTATGTACCTACTGAATTAACTGCAAAGTATATAAAGAAAACTAGTAGAATCATAGGGAGAAATTGATTAATTTACTTTCATAATGGGAGATTTCAACACTGTTCTCAATTAGTGATAGACCTAGCAGACAAAAAAAAAAAAAAAAATTAGAGAAAAATACACTTTCTTCCCAAGCACATATGGGACATTTACAAAAAGTGATCATGTATTGGTCTATAAATCAAATCTCAATAAATTTTGAAGAATTGGAATCTTATATGCTAAGTTCTCTGGCCACATTAAATTAGAAGTCAAAACTAAAGGAATTTCTTAAAAATCTGGTAGTTAGGCCCTGGCCGGTTTGGCTCAGCAGTTAGAGCATTGGCCTGCAGACCAGAGAGTCCCGGGTTCGGTTCCCGCTAAGGGCACGTACTGCAGTTGCAGTTCATCCCCAGCCCCAGTGGGGTCAGTGTGGGTGGCAGCCAGTTGATGTGTCTCTCTCACGTCAATGTTTCTCCTTCTCTCTTCCTCCCTCTCTCCCTCCCACTCTATGTGAGGATGAATGCAAAAATGTCCTCGGGTGAGGATAAAAACATAAAATAAAAAGTTTAAAAAATCTGGTAGTTAGGGAAATACTAACTACTGTTACAACCCCAACATTTTACTTACTTAAATCAAAAGACTCTTTCTGTTTACCTTTAGTGTTGGATGGTTATTCCGGTCAGTGAGAGACTTAACCCTGAAATGATTCAGAGGCCAGGACTCTTCCTATCTTCTTGGGGCCTCAATACCTTCTTCATTCAGCTATTCAGGCTTCCTAATCTTTGTCTTCAATTTTGATATATTATTCTGCAAGTTTTCCATTCCATCTAAGTTTTAAAATTTATTGACATGAAGTTATTCATAGTATTCTCTCTCTTTTTATTTAAATCTCAGCTAAATCTATAGTTGTGTCCTTTTGGTCTTAATAGTATTTATTTATGCTCTCATTTTTCTTGATCTATCTTGCCAGAGATTATTAGTTTTTCCAAAAGCTATCTTTTGGATTTGTATGCCTCTCTATTGTATATATGTGTTTTCTTTTATTTTTAAATTTTGCTTCTGTCTTTATTATCTCTTTTCTGCCTCTAATACTGTCTCAGTAAGTTATCTAGCAAAACTGGATTAAGAAAAATGATCTGAAGCCTGTTTCCTATGCCAACCAAACTAATCTGTGCCTAAATATTACTTAGATTTACAAAATCATATTCTGTGAACATAATTGTTATATTGTTTTATAATTTCTGAGATCCTTCCTCTTAGCCTCTCTTATTAATCAAGGACTCTTTCCAATGCAAGAGATGGAACTCTTAACCTCACACTAGCATAAGGAAAGAAAGGAACCCATTGGCTTGTGTGGTTGAGAAGACAGGTGTGGCTGGGTGCAGGTGTTCAATGATGCCATTAGTGCCTCAGCCACACTTTCCTCTGGGTGTGTTTGATCTTCAACTACCTTTACCAGTGTAGTGTCACAGTGGCCACCAGGCAGGCTTGTATCTCACAAGTCCAGCAACTCCAGCAGAAAAAGAACCAGCCTCGGGCTCCAGTGCAAGTTCCAGGACGGACCATTTTGGTCTGTGTCCACCCCCACAGCCAGTCACTGTGTATGGGGCTGATGAGAGTCAACTGTCAACTCTAGTCAACCTATATCGAGTAAGAATGGGGGTGATTCCCCAAAGAAGGGAGATTGTTGGTGTGTGTGAATGACAGAATGAGGTGACAGGTAAGACAGATGGAAAAAAGGAGAGCAGTGTTTAGTAGAAAAGGAGATCTGGGCAGTCAAGAATACCTCATGTCCCCTGTGTATTAGTAAATCTTGAATTGGCCTGAGAAACGAGTAAAACTGGGTTGTTCCATCGAGAGGTTCAGGAAAAGCAAATGGGAGGGAAGAGTTGGCAGAGGGGTAATCACGGTGATAACTTCCTGTCCACCTGGAGTAGTTCCTTCAAAAACATGGTGGTACTCATAAGAGCACAAAACACACCTCCCCGCTCTAGGTTGTTCTGCCAGCTGTAATTTCACCTTAAAAGGAATGTCTTTTTCTTTATGGTACTATATCTCTGACTGTAGCCACTAATCACATGTAGCTGTTTAAATTTAAATATGAATTAATTAAAATTAAATGTAAAGATTCAGTTTCTCATTCACAAATAGCCACATTTTGAATGCTCAGTCACCTGTGACTACCATACTGGACAGCTTAGAGACGGAACATTTCTGTCACCACTGCAAGTTCTATTGGACGGTGCACATCGAGCTATTACCAGAAATCTGTTGTTATTAGGTGTCTTTCCAATGAAAGTTACTCTAAAGGGATTGGGTGAGAAGTTTTGATTATGACAGAGAAAATGAAGGAAGCTATGATCACCCCATGGTTCTGTTTTCATTTCTTTAAAGGATTTTATCTCCCTTCAGACTTTGCTCTGTATCGTCAGAAGGGACAGTCTGTGCCATCAGAGCTGGGATCCCTGGTAATCCTTCGAACCTAACACAGATGGACAGTCAAGGACCCGATGCTTAGGAGCCACCTGAGAGCAGTGGTGCTTGGGAGGAAGTGGGTGTGAGTGGCTGCTGGTGTCAGCCTCTTTAAGAAATGTTTTATCTAGGACAGTCAGCACCACTGCCATCAGGTATCATAATCTGCCCCATTTTGCCATACATTTGATCATCTCTCAATGTTACATAAATCTGATAAAAACTGATTTAATTTTTTTTTTCCTCTGCAGACCTGTCCCCCTTTGTTCTGTTGTTTTGATTAATAGCCAACTTGATAAAATTGAAGGAAGAAAACTGTTTATTTCCTGTAACGTTCAAAGTGTTGATGAGAAGACCCTGTACACAGAGGCAACAAGTACGAAGGGCCACTCCCTTTTTCCTTTGGTGTAGTTTGGTTTGGAGTTTTTTCCTTTGGGGGTTTGTTTGGGGTTTTTTGTTTTTTTTCTGGGTCTGTTTTTGTTGGTGAGGTAAGTACTGTGAAATACTGTGGTGCCATAAATAAGAATAAGGACACTTTATGCATGACATGGAGCTATTTTAATGAAAAATACAAGGTACAGATGTTATCATTAGTGTAGAAAAATTAAGAGTTCTTCCTCTTTCCCTTTCACCTGTCCTTCGTTCCTGAGTAATTTATTCCAAAGGCCATGTAGAACTAGGTATGGTAGGCTCAGTGTGAGGGGAGACCAAGGGGGAGGCAGCCGCAGTGGCCCAGCACCGCCGGATCCTGAGTGCAGTGAGGAGGGGATGTGTCCCCATGGGATTGGCCCAGCACAAGGTGTCAGAGCCAAGTAAGGTAAGCAGAATGTCTCAGTGGAGAGTGGTATGGTTGTCAGAGCCCAGAGTGAGGGTGACACCCATATGGGCCGGCAGTCGTGCTGAGAGCCAGGTTTCTCGCTGTCAAAGAAGGAGGTTCCAGATATGGAAAGAGAGAAAATGAGAATGAACTCTGTGGTGTTGGTTGGAATTGGAGATGTTGGACGCGTGTGCTTTCCCAGTCTTTTGCTCTTGCAAATAATGTTGTATTGAGGAACTTTGTATATTGTCGCTTTGCACAAATGTTGGCAAATTACTCTCCAGTGGTTCAGGAGGATACTGTTCTTTGCACTAGTCTCACAGTTTTTCTGTAAGCTTGAAATTATTTTAAAATAAAAAGAAATGGGAAGGAATAGAAAAGATCTGTATATAGTTGTTTTACATAGACTATTTCAGGAAAGTCGCACACATTAACATTGGTTGCCACTGGGAAGGGGGCCAGGTAGATTGTGAGGGAGATTCCCCTGGGTGCCTTTTTGTACCTTGTGAAAGTTGTTCTGTAAATGGATTACCAGGAGAGGAGCTAGGTTTTGTGGGACCTAAAGTCTATACAATTTAAGAAGCCAGATTTAAGGAAAAGAACACAAACTTGGCTACAAAAGTAAATGTTTGTTTTAAATGAGAAAAGGAACCACAACATATTACCGCTGGAAACACAGGTCCTTCCCCCTGCGTTCTCTATAGTAGTCACTAGAAATGCTCACGGAAATGCTTCCCAGCTGCATCCTGAGCACCTCACAGCTCCCACTCTCACCTCTGCCGGGGAGCCCCTGGAGGCCTCACCTGTGTTCACTTCAGCTGTACACGAGTTAATTTAGATACCCAGTGTTTTTGTTTGTTTGTGTTTTTTATTGTAATGAACCTCAGAAGCACAGGTTTGGGTTAATCATAATATTTGGTTTAGGACTCACAGCCATCACTGGTACATGAGTGGTCGTCTTCATTTAGTCATTCACTAATGTATCTATTTTTTAAATTGTGTAATAAATACCCTGGAACTTAGTATTGAACATGAACCAGAATCTTAATAATATTCTATCTCTGCCATCTCATTCTCCTGCTTTTCCCCCAGAAGTAACTCTGCACTAGAATTTTGCGGTTTTTATTCCTGTTAACCTTATTATTGTTTGTTTGTTTGTTTGTTTTGTTTTAGCAAGGATATAAGTGTACCTACGGCATGCATTGCTTAGTGTTTGTTTTTGTAGAAAAGATTTTGTGCCGCATATGCTTGTCTGGGACTTGATTTTTTGTCACTCAGCTTCATGGTACTGAGGTTCACCATGTTGCTGGCTGTGTAGTTTGCTCAGTTTTACTGCTGTATCATATTCCACTGTGACTATGTCACAATGCACTTATCTCCTCTTCTGATGGTGGGCCTCTGACTATTATGAATGGGGCTGCTACAAACATTCTTGGTCATGTCTCCTGGTGATGTGCATGCAAGCACTTGGCATGTACTTAGGAGCATTTCTGGGATGTAGAGTATGAGAGGGTTCAGCTTCACGGGAATGTCTGATTGTTTCTAAAGCTGTCCCAGTTTACACTCCCACCAGCAAAGTATGAGATTCTGTTGATCCCTATCTTCTCTAGTAATTGGTAAAATCGGACTTCTGCATTTTTGCCAAATGGATGGTTATAAAATTGTATCTCAGTGTGATTTTGATTTGCATTTTCCTGATCACATAGGGAGTTGAGCATCTCTTCATGTATTTATTGACCATATTTGTTTCCCATTCTGTGACATTCCTGTTTGTTCAGCCTCTTTTATTGTTTTTTCTCATTTTTTTTATTTATAGTTATATTAAACTAATCATTTTTGGATACATAAACTGCACATATCTCCTTTCAGTATGTAAGTTGTCTTTTATTTTCTTTAAGAAGCATTTTTATGAACAAAAATTTGTAATGTTAGTATAGTCACATTTATTAATTTTTTTCCTTTATGGTTAATGCTTTTTATGTTTTATTTAAGAAATTCATGTTTCCCCTAAGCATCAGCTGTTTGAAGGAATGATGGATGAAAGAAACAGGAGGAATATCATGAATAATTTGAACCTAATTTAAAAACTCCGTTCCAGTCTACGGTTTATACCTCCCATCTCACTAAACCTTTCAGTATCATAAAGGAACCGGATGGCTCAGTTGAAATTTCACTTCCTTTCATTTCCCTGGCTATTTCTAACAGAAGTGGCAATGAGCCATGGAAAAACCAAGTGGTACAGAATTGATTACCTAGGGAAGATAATACAGTACTGAGATAGTCAAAAGTTGATTCTTACCCAGCTGGTGTGGCTCAGTGGTTGAGCATCGACCCATGAACCAAGAGGTCTCAGGTTCAATTTCTGGTCAGGGCACATGCCCAGGTTGTGGGCCCAACCCCCAGTGGGGGGCATGCAGGAGGGGGCCAGTCAATGTTCTCTCCCATTGATGTTTCTATCTCTCTCTCTCTCTCTCTCCCTTTCTCTCTCTCTAAAATCAATAAAGAAAAGGGGAAAAAAATTTTAAGTTGATTCTTAATTTGTCTGAAAAATGAGAGATAGACTGAAGGTACAGATATGAATTTAAATACCTTTCTTTGACTATATATTTCTAATTAGAGAAGTCCCATCAGGTTGAAGTCAGTTGACTTATAATCATCTTCTGTTTTTTTTTGTTTTTTCATTTAGGTTTATTTATAAAGTTGGATCCTGAAAAACAAGTTTAACGTAAAAGAGCTTCTGCTGAATTCCACTCCATATGCATAAGGCTCATTGTCCTCCACGAGAAGCTGTCGTCCCCAGTCCTGCTCTGCTTACCTGCTGTTGCGCCCCCTTCTGGTGACACCTGCTGACACGGCCTTCCTGAACAGTCTGAACACAGCTCCAGGAGCTGTTTCCACCTTCTACATTTTTAAACACAGAAACACTTCCTATGAGAGTAATTTGTTTATTATTATTTTTTATTCCTCTAGCAATGTATTTCTAATAAGAAGGCAGAATGAAACAAAAGGAAGTCAGGAAAACCTTTTTGTTCTGTATTAAGGAAGCTCATGTCCCCCATATTCCTATGTTCCCCACTCCATTACCTTCCTGGACCCTGGCCTCTTCTCTATCCCAGAGAGTTGTGAGGCCAAATTATTGTCCTGCCTAATAACTAGCCATCATGGAACCCTAGCCAAACATATTTTTTAGTGCCAAGTATACAACATTTTCTATAGTAGAGACAATGAGGCAATCTCTTTCTAATTTAAGTCACCAAAACTAAATCATGGATTCTATGTCTCAGGAAGGTTTAAATTTTCTTTTAATAGTATTCTTGGTCTGGCATTACTATGATCAGCTCAGAATTACAGAACTGGCTTATTCCTCATCTTTATTATAGGTTTAAAATTAAGTGGACTGCAGACAAAGATACTACAAGGAAGAAAAAGAAAAAAAAAACTACAGAGTAATATCCTTTATAAATATAGATACAAAAATCCTTAACAATATACTAGCAAACGGATCTAACAGCACATTTAAAAGACTATACATCACGACCAAGTGGGATTTTTCCCAGGAATACAAGAGTAGTTCGACATAAGGAAATTAATCAATGTAATATGCCACATTAATAGAACAAAGAAATAAAACCACACAATAATCTCAATAGATACAGGAAAGGCATTTGACAAAATCCAATACTCTTTCATGACAGAAACACTCAAAATAGGAATAGAAAAGAACTTTCTTAACGTACTATTGGGCATCTAGAAAAACCCACAGCTAATATCACACTCAAAGGTGAAAGGTTGAAAGCTGTCCCCCTAATATCAGGAAGAAAACAAGGCTTTATTATTACTACTGCTGTTCAACATAATACTAGAAGTTCCAGACAGAGCAATTGAGCAAGAAAAAAATAAAAGCCATTCAAATTGGAAAAGAATGAGTAAAAGTATTTGCAGATAACATAATTCTATATATAGATAGTCAAAGAATTCACCAAAAAATTACTAGAACTATAAATAAATTCAGCAAAGTTTTAATACTTCTTTCTCCTCCTCCTTCTCTGCCTCCTCCTCCTCCTCCTCCTCCTCCTTCTCTCTCTCTCTCCCCACACCCCCCTCTCTTCTTCCCTCCCTCCCTTCCTCATCATTCACTTTTGAGGAAACCTATGTCAAGAGCAGCCCAATGAATAGGTCTACATGTTGAGGAACTAAAGTTTCCAGCCCCAGTCACCAACTTGACTGCAACTTCATGAGAGACCCTGAGCCAAAACTACCCAATTAACATACTCCCAGATGCTTGACACTCATAGATGGTGTGAAATAATAAATGTTATCTTAAACTGCTAACATTTGAGGTAATGTAGTAATAAATAATTAGTAAAGAGGATTAGGTGATTTATTTATTTTTTTATATTTAATTAATTTATTTATTTTTGTTACAGATGTTTCTCCTTTTTCCCCCACTGATTCCTCCTTCCCATCCCTCCCTGCCCTGTCCCCAGCTTCGTTGTCCATGTCCATTGTTCATGCGCACATGCATATGAGTTCTATGGTTTATCTCTCCCCCACCACCCCCTCTTCTGGGGGTTGTCAGTCTGTACCCCACTTCCACATCTCTGGGACTACCCTATTCCTCATACTGTTACGTTCATTATATTCCACAAATAAGTGAGATCATATGATACCTGTCTTTCTCTGCTTGGCTTGTTTCACTTAGGATAATACTTTCTAGGTCCCTCCACGTAGTCTCAAAGGATAAGAGATCTTTCTCTCTTACAGCTGCATAGTACTCCATTGTGTATACGTACCAGAGCTTTTTATCCATTCATCTACTGATGGACATTTGGGCTGTTTCCAGATCTTAGCTATTGTAAAACAGTGCTGCTACAAAAATGGGGGTACATATATTCTTTCTGACTGGTGTTTCAGTCTTCATAGGGTATATTCCTAGAAGTGAGATCACTGGGTCAAATGGCAGTTCGATTTTTAATTTTTGAGGTAACACCATATTGTTTTCCACAGTGGCTGCACCAGTCTGCATTCCCACCAGAAGTGTACTAGAGTCCCCTTTTCTCCACACCCTCATCAACACTTGTTGTTTGATGATTTGTTGATGGTGGCCATTCTGACAGGTGTGAGGTGATACCTCGTTGTTTAAATTTGCATCTCTCTGATGATTAGTGATGTTGAGCATTTCTTCATATGTCTCTTAGCCATTTGTATGTCCTGTTTGGAGAGGTGTCTAGTTCCTCTGCCCATTTTTTAATTGGGTTCTTTGTCTTCCTTTTGTTGAGTTGTATGAGCACTCTATATATATTGGAAATTAACCCCTTATCTGATATCATTGACAGTTATGCTCTCCCATACAGTGGGTTGCCTTTCCATTTTGATGATTGTTTCTTTTGCTGTGCAGAAGCTTTTGAGTTTGATGTAGTCCCATGTGTTCATTTTCTCCTTTGTTTCTATTGCCTTAGGTGATGTATCAGTGAAAATTCTGCTGTGTTTGATGTCTGAAATTTTGTTGCCTACATTTTCTTCTAGGATTTTTATGGATTCGTGAGTCACATTTAAGTCTTTTATCCATTTTGAGTTTATTCTTGTGTGTGGTGTAAGTTGATGGTCTAGTTTCTTTTTTTTGCATGTAGCTGTCCAATTTTCCCAACCTCATTTATTAAAGAGGCTGTCTTTACTCCACTGTATGCTCTTGCCACCTTTGTCAAATATTAATTGAGCATATTGCCTTGGGTCCACTTCTGGGTTCTCTGTTCTGTTCCATTGGTCTATATACCTGTTCTTGTGCCAGTACCAGGCTGTTTTGATTACTGTGGCTTTGTAGTATAACCTGAAATCTGATAATGTGATCCCTCCTACTTTGTTCTTTTTTTTTAAGATTGCTGTGGCTATTCAAGGTCTTTTTTTGGTTCTATATGAACTTTTGAAGTATTTGTTCTAGTTCTGTGAAGTATGTTGTTGGTATTTTGATGGGGATTGCATTGACTCTATAGATTGCTTTGAGTAGTATGGACATTTTAATGATGTTAATTCTTCCAATCTATGAATAAGGTATGTGCTTCCACTTTTTTATATCTTTTTTCAATGACCTGTCATTTATAGATATCTCTATATCTTTTTTCAATGACCTGTCATTTTCTGCTAATAGGTCCTTTATTTCTTTGGTTAAGTTTATTCCTAGGTATCTTATTTTTTTTGCCACAATGGAAATGAGATGATTTTCTTAGTTTCTCTTTCTGTGAGTTCATCATTGGTGTATAAGAATGCCATCGATTTCTTTCTTTCTTTTTTTTTTTTTAACCTCACCCGAGACATTTTTCCATTTTTTGTTCAGATAGAGCGGGAGGGAGGGAGAGGAAGAGAGAAACATCGATGTGAAGGGACACATCGAGTAGCTGCCACCCGCACAACCAACCAGGGCCGGGGATGCACTGCAACCGAGATATGTGCCCTTAGCGGGAACCGAACCCGGGTCTCTCTGTACCGCAGGCCGACGCTCCAACCGCTGAGCCAAACTGGCCAGGGCAGATTTTTTGACATTAATTTTGTATCCTGCTACTTTGCCAAATTCATTTATTAAGTCTAGTAAATTTTTGATGGAGTCTTTGGGAAGGAGTAAGGTGACCATTGCCCTTCGTGGCTGCATCTCAGCAAAAGCTCTGAGTGCTCTCCAAATTCCGAGTGTCCCTACTCAGTTCCAGTCCAGTCCGCCCTCCCTCTGCCGGAACCCCAGGTGAGTGGCTGTGGCTATTTTAGCGTCTGGGCTCTGGGCTGTGGAACCACTTGGGAGTGTAACCCAAGGGCGCTGCTCCCAGCTAAGGCCACTGCTATCTGTGACTTCCAGCCCCCCTCTCACGCCTCTGCAATCCTACCAGGATCGAGTCCTCCTGATTATATGGTCCTCCAAGCTGCTTTTGTGTTGCTTTTTCCTGACGATTTGTCTTTATTTTTGTTGTGATTCCAGTTTGGTCCTGGGAGATGGTTTGTATAGCTTCCATTCACTCTGCTGCCATTTTGAAATCCTCAGATTAGGTGATTTAAATGCAAGTAACCCAGATAATCCCAAACTACATAATCCTATTGTAGGTGATGAGGAGGTCGTACTTGAATATTTGTATGTAGCAGGTTTGCAAGCCTAATTCTTAGATATTAGGAGTGATTCGATCTTCCTCAGGTGCACTGTATTTATTTGTGATCAAAGCCTCAGAGTGCTGTTGAAACAAAGCCATCAGGTTAAAAACTGGCAGCAAATAAATCACACCATGGAAGACCAAGGGCTTGTGATATTTTTCTAAATAAAATAAACCAGCCATGGCCAGTTTGGTTCAGAGGTTAGAGCATCGGCCCATGGACCAAAGAGTCGTGGGTTCGATTCCAGTCAAGGGCATGTACCTCTGTTGCGGTTCATCCCCAGCCCCGGTCGGGGTCATGCAGGAAGCAACCAGTCGATGTGTCTCTCTCACATTGATGTTTCTCTCTGTCCCTCCCTCCCATGCTATCTGAAGATAAATAGAAAAATGTCCTTGGGTGAGGATTTTAAAAAATAAAATAAGCCAGGTTGAAGGTTCCCAATGCCAGAATTGGTTTTTTTTTATTTTGTTTCTTAAGACAGAATTTAATAGAAATATCAGCATTTAATCACTAAATACACTGGTTCTTACAAAGTTCCTATTAAAAATGTAGCATAGAAATGTGTGTGTGTGTGTCATAGCTTTTAATTCAAAATAAAATATGGACATGTTACTAAGGGAAATGAAACCAGAGTACTTTGTCAAGCTGAAAATACCAAAGAAACAACTATAATAGTTCAAAGTGGTTGAACCTATGGAAGTGGAAATGGAGTCAAGTAGAGGGAATACACTGTCTTTGATAATAAACTTTGCTTCTGCTAGGCTTGATCTAAACTCTGTGCAAGAAATTACTTTGATAAAATAAAAACCGAATTTTTTTTTTATCCTCATCTGAGGACATTTTTGTATTTATCTTCAGACAGAGCGGGAGGGAGAGAGAGAGAAATACATTGAGTGGCTACCACCTGCACGTCCCCAACCAGGGATGGGGACAAACCACAACCAAGGTACATGCCCTTAACGGGAACCAAACCCGGGACTCTCTGGTCCGCGGGCCAGCGCTCTAACCACTGAGCAAAACTGGCCAGGGCAAACTAAAATTTTAAAATAATAAATACCTCATAGGGATGCGGGGCTTAAAAGAGGAAGTCCACACAACACTAGGGACAGTGCGGAGGTGTTCGGCCAATCTGTGACATATCCCCAGGGAAAGAGGGAAGTGATCTGACTATGACGCCCTTGTCCTGACAGAGAAGACAAAACTTGCTGAAATTTGGCTTCTGTTGATCAGGGCGGGCTCTGCTCGTCTAAGGAGACACTGAAGCCACGACATCGCAGCCTCTGGCTGGTGGGAGAGCTTGGTAGCTAGAGGTCCTTTCCCTGGCAGCTCCCCTTCTGCCCAGGCTGCCTCGCCAGGGAAGTCCTCTGGCAGCCCCTGATCTGTCACAGTGAAAGGAAGGCGGAGCCTGGCCGGAGCTGAGGTCTCTGGGTTGAAGTTCTGTCTGTGACTTTGGGCAAGTGAATTAGCCTGAGTGCCCCCATTTCTCATCTGTGAAATGGAGGTAATGTAGTCCTTATTTTCCAGACTGGCGTGGATTAACCGAGTAAATGCATGTTTTCTGTGGTTGTCACTCTTATCTTTGCCCACATTGGCTGGGAACTGTGTCAGCATACTTTTGGGCCCACAAGACACAGCAATGCATTAAGTGTTTGGAGCTTAAATATTAAATAAACAGAACTTTGCGCAGTGGCAGTATCGTAGCCAATGAGGTTTATCCGAGGCGCAATTATTGCTAATTGAAAACTTCCCAATACCCCGCCATGACGACTTGAATATAGTCAGCATTGGCAATTTTTGACGGTCTCTACGGAGAAAAAAAAAAAAATTAAACAGCTGTAGTCAAGGAACTTATAAGCCAACAGGAGATAAGCTCAGCAGAGAAGTGCCTGGTGGGTTATTACAGCAAAACATTTTTTCCAAGAAAAGTAGCCAGTTCGGGTTTATGTATCACCCGCCTTTCCGTCTCCACTAGTGGAATCGTGTCAGGCCAGCAAAGGGACGGGTAGAGCTAAATCACCCTGTCCCCCACACCTTCACACTCCTGCCCCTCTATTGATCCACAGAGCCCAGAGAGTCAATGTGGAGGAAGGGTGGGTAATTTTCACAAGGAAGTCCCCAGGTGGCATGGGTGGAGGTGCTGTGGGAGAGAGGAGGGCAGACAGAGTCAGGAGCAGAGGGCAAGAGGAGGAAGGGGAAGGGTTTGTGGAGTCAAGGCCATTCGTTGGCTGGACTCCAAAATTGGTCCCTTTTAGCCCTTTGGGTGACAGAATCTGCATGCCCAGTGTGGCCATGTGAGTGACCACAGCTAAGAACTGCATCTGTACAGCAGGCACCCAGGGCCATCTCATGGCAGCACCCAGAGATGAGCCTCACTCTTGAGAGGATCTGCCTCTTCTGGCCCCATTCCCCGTGGTGGCTGTCATCATGGAAGCAAGGGTGTGCCTGTGTGGCCACAGTGACTGTGGAAGAAAGACAGCTTCAGAGGGAACACGTCTCAGTTGCCACAGTGAACTAAGTGTCCTCTGCAAGTAGCAGAGTGGCAGCCACAGAGATTGGGTCCCTTGGCACCCTTCCCTGATGTTTCCATATGAGGAACGGGAACTGCACCCTGAGTTTTAGGTGGCTCCTGGCCTCTTGGACTTCCTGCAGGAGGACAGGAGAGGCAATCCTGGGGCAGGGTAAAATAGGACTCGCCTGCCTGCGCAGGAGCCTCAAGACCAGACTCAATCAGCAGAGGTCAACAGACCAGAGAACAAAGAGATTTAGAGATTTTAAGCTTTTTTTTGGATCCCTGTTGGCACCTACATGTCACACACCTCTTGCCTCACCCATTCTCCCTTCCCCTAACATAAAAGAAGCCTGAATTATGGGCTCTCTTAAGATGGGCTTGAACCAGTACATGGACCTTGAACCAGTAATACCCCTGGGAGCCATAGCCAGCCTAGAGCTGTGGCAGTTCACTCACCACCTCCTACAAGCCCTTCCATGGCCTCAGCCTTCTGCTTCCAGAACATGGCAGCCTAGCCGAGTGCAGAAGGGGAGAGGGAAGGAAGAGGGCCAACAGCTGGGGGCTGTCAGCCTCAGGTGGCAGTGATTTACACTAACCTTAAGGAATCTTCTTAATGAATAGGTGTGTGATAGATTTTAAAGCAAGGCTTTGGCCCTCCTCAGCCAGTGGTGTCTTCAGTTGCCGTAGGGGAGAAACAGCGTAAAATAGGACATACAGAGGCTGTTTATGACGAGGCTGTATTCTTTTATGAGTGAAACAAAGATGAATTGGCCCATAAGGCTTCTCTAGAGCTGATCACACCTACTACAGTACAGATATTCTGGAGGGACCCAGGATGGCTGCAGAGTAGCCTGCTCCTGGCCCCAAATCAGATTCATGGCTAAATTATAAATCAATCAGTCTGAATAACCAACTGAAGCCTAGCTGAACTGAAATATTATAACCAAGGATTTACAGAAGAAGCCACATAGAGTCTAGTAAGAACTGAGATGCAGACAGGGCTGGCCCCTGCACCCATGAATGGAGGCTGAAAGCCAGAGGAATATCTCAGCTGCAAAACTCCCTCCCCCAAGGAGCTTGGGGTTTCAACCCATGCAGAGATCCCCAACACAGAGCAACAGACGGGAAAAGGAGCCCATATAGCATCTTGTGGTGAAAATCACTGGGGATTCCGTCCACCCGGGAGAGAAGAGAATCTGCTGCAGACCCAGATGCCACCCTCCCAGGGATGAGCCCTCCTGTGTTACAGCACCCACCTGGGGCGTGCACTGCCCAGTCCCCCAGCTGCCGGCAGGGCCACTCTGCCATGTTCAGCTCCTGTGAAGGGATCTGCTGGCTGCACCCAGTAGTGGCCTTTGGGGTGCTGTTTTTCTGAGGAGGCTCTTGGTGGAGACTCGGTGACCGAACTGTGTCACTGGAAAGGAGACCAGTTTCCTGCACCCCGAGCACACAGCTGGCGCACCCTCCGCCCCCGAACTCCCCATGTTGAATCACTTGGCTGGCCCTGTTCTGCTGCATTCAGTTTTACAGGGGGAGCAGAGTGCCACACAGAGCTGGGACTTTCAGAGCAAGTCTCCTGGGGAGGCTTTGTCTGGGAATCAGATGGACAGGTGCTGAGTTGTGTGGCTACATTGCAGGGGGTCACACCTATCTCCCCTGCGAGCTCAGCTCATGCTATCCTGGGAAGGGGGAAAAGTGTTCCACCATCTACAGGCATGAGGGCACCACCCCCACTGAGACTGTTTGGAACTGCCCTTCCAAGTCCCAGATACCCAACCCTGCTAAGCTCAGCTCTGCTGGGGAAGGGAGAACTGCTGCTGTGACATTCAGAGGGTGTGTCCCTTGGAGGCTATTGTATGGCACTGTGAAGTACTTGGCCTCCTCCAGCAGGCTGAGCCAGAATCACCCCCAATGCAAGACTCTTTTGATCTGTCCTCCTGAGACCAGTGGCTCTGCTCAGCTGAGCTTGCTCCTGCAGAGGGATGTTAGGCTGCACCCAGCATGAACCTCCAGTGCATCCCCTCCTGGGGGAGCTAGAGTTGGTGACTGACAGACACTGAGTGTTTTGCCTCTCAAGTAAGGGCCACTTTCCCCTCATTGAGTGCCTGGCCACGTGATCCCCATGTAGGGGACAGACTAGCCCTGTCCTCCCGACCCCAGTTACCCAACTCTACTGAGCTCAAAATATGAGAAAGGGTCTGTGGGTTGTAACCAGCCTGCGCCCACTATCCAGATTTTCTTCAGAAGGCTCTGGAGGAAGACCAGGCAACTTCACTGATGGTGGAGTGGCGGACATGTGGAAAGGACCTTAGGGAGCCTTGAAACTTTTACAGATCTGCCCCCAGCTCTAAGCTGGAGGAAGCCAACCCTTGTACACAGATTGCTCCCTCCCATGCACAGTAGATGCAACCACAAACAGTGAATAGTGTGGTAGCTCCAGACAGGTGGCCCAAGGCCATTACACACATTTGACATCAATCTGTACCTAAATCCTGCCCAAGTGGACCCAGAACCAACACAATCAGTGGTGGGCTTCAGACCATACCAGAGCTCGACCCAACTAGCCACACAAATGGCACACCCAAAAGGGGATTCCGGCAGACCCTTCTGGAAAAAAGTCCACCTCAAAAGATCAGTGCTGCACAGTAACTCATACATGGTGATCAAGGTTTATCCTTATAGTCAGCCAGCCTGAAGGCTTAACTCCACCCACAAAGGACCAGCAGCATTCAAGACTCAACTGCAACAGGAGGGTGCACACGAGAAGCATTCCTGGAGCACAGAGCTCAAGTAATAGGGAAGATTGTGCCACTGAGCACAAGACGCTTCATTATAGTCATTATAACAAGTTCGGGAGTCCAAACACAGAGACAAAAAGAGGAGACAAAGAAATATGCCCCAAGTGAAAGAACAAGAGAAATCCCCAGAAAAAGAATCAAATTAAATGGAAGCAACCAAAATACCAGATGCAGAGTTTATCTTCTTTTTTTTTAATCCTCAACCAAGGACACATTTCCATCTATCTGAGAGAGAGAAAGGAACATCGGTGCAAGGGAGAGACATCTACCCGACAACCTGGGTATGTGTTGTGTGCCATGACTGGGATTCAAAGTCACCACCTTTTGGTGTACAGGGTGATGCTCCAACAATAAAATCGATAAAGAAAATAAAATAAAATCTTACATTTTACAACAGCATGGATAGACCTGGAGATTTATTATGTCAAGCAAAATAAGCCAGTCAGAGAAAGACAAATGCTGTATGATCTCACTTACATGTAGAATCTAATGAACAAAATAAACATGAACAAAATAGAAGCAGAGGCATGAACACATGGAAGAGACTGACAACTGTCAGAGGGTATGGAGGTTGGGGAACTGGATGAAAGAAGGTGAAGAGACTAACCAAAAAACACATATACAACCCAGCCAGTGTGGTTTAGTGGTTGAGCATCAACCCATGCACCAAGAGGTCGCTGGTTCAATCCCCTGTCAGGGCACATGCCCAGGTTGTGGGCCTGATCCCCAGTGGAGAGCATGCAGGAGGCAGCCAATCAATGTTCTCTCTTATCGATGTTTCTCTCCCTCTCTCTGTCTCTGTCTCATAATGAATAACTTACATTGTGACACTTTGGGGGAATATTTACACTTTAAAAGATAAGCAAAACTATAAACTATGATGATTAATGCATGATGCCATAACTCTCTATATCACAATATGAAAACAGGTGATTGTGTGCATATGTAAATATGTTTACACATGTGTTGTATTTGTTACTCAGTAAGCATATATATTGTGAATATGTGTACGCCTGCCATGCATGTATATGCAAGTTCATCTGTGTCTCTGTGTGTGTATATATGCATGTGCCCATACTATGTGTGTTTGTAAGAATATGTGAGTACGCCTTTGTGTATACTATATATACATGCATGTGAGTACACATGCATGTGTGTGTGAGTGTATAAACAAATGCACATAGAACCATGTGTGTGTTTGTACATGTATATGCATGTGTTATCAGGAATATTGGGGTACCCATTTCCCCAACAAGTGTTGGGGGAGGAGTCCTTATGATATCTCCAGAAAAATAATTTCTGAGACTCACACAGGGGGATGAGTGATTTTCATTTGCATGAAATTACATCCCTGGGTTTCCAAATCCCATTTCCCTTAATCCAGTCCTGGAAGTAGTGTAGCTGAGGATTCAGTAGAGCTTGAAGCAAAGCCAGTGTCCAGAGTTTCCATTTCGCGTTGCAGCCGGTTCCAGTTAAGCATCAGGCTGGTTACAGTCCATTAGCCCA